GAATGCCCAAACTGGAAAGTATGTAGCTGTGCACCATCTCTAGACCTCTTTGGAGAAGGAATTAGGCTTGGCAGGCCCTGAGGTCAGAAGAGGAATTAACAAGCATAAGCTATAGGGGGACAGCCTGCAGGCTGATGAGGGGAAGCCTCTATTTTCAGAGCTGCCCATGTACTACCTTGAGATAGAACAAGGGTCTCAGGAAACACACCCACGCAGCCAATGATGACTAACTGTCAGACCCATGGGGAATGAAATTCCTGTGCCAGGAGGTTCCAACCCCAGTTTGAGATTCCACCCTTAAAAACCCAAGCACATGCCAGGCAGTGAGATGTAGTTATTGCACAATGGAACTCTGAATTATGGAGCAAATGGACAGGACAGAGCTCCTGAGTCTTAACTAGAGAAAACTTTCCTTCTACAGTCAAGAGACCCAACCTCCAGGATACATACTCCAAGCAGCAATGGTGTGGAGAAATAGGGACAGTCCGTTTCTTGGGATTTAACAAAAGAACATTCAACCACTCCTTCCTTTCCGTTGATTGCATCCACAAGGGAAAAGACAAACCGGGCTCCGGCATATGCCATGGACAGGGTGGCAGAGCCTAGGAGGACACAGGAAGGTTAGCCAAGCTAGAACTATAAAATCCAGGTGAGCCTGTCCCGCCAGCTAAATAAAGCATCTGTAAAATCTCTAGCTCTAGTCATGAAAATTTAGGTCAGCATCCCTCAATTCAAAAACTAATGAATGGCATGAATTAGCTCTGCCAACCTCAAACACTGCTCCACCCCACAGAGCAAGCTGAGCTGCCCTGATACAGGGCTATCAAGCGAACATACAGGAAACTTAAAAAAGGTTTGCTCTTTGCCCAGGCCCTTGCAGTCTTCAACTCTGGCATCAGCACCTGACCTGGGGCTGCCTCTGAGAACCTACCTGCTCCAGCTTTAGCCTTGACCACCTCCGTGCCAGCCTCCTGGATCCGCCCAGTAAGCGCTGTCAGCTGGTCCTGGGGAAAGTCCACCTTGGGAGTGCACTGCAAGCCAAGGCCACAGGGATCGTATAAGCAGGTTCTGCCTCCAGTCACCACTCCCAGATCCCGCACTCTCCTCACGCTCCTCACGGCAGGTCCCCCCGCATCACCACATGGGAAACCAAGAGTCTTTCTTTAAAGTCAACTTTGTTGGGAACTGGAATGAGTTTCCCACTCATTTTTAAAAAAAGTTTTAATATTTTGGCTAATTTTAGACTTAGAGAAAAGTTATAAAAACAGTACAAAGATTTCCCTCACCTGGGTTACCTTCATGTTAACATCTTACATAACCACAGGGCAATTATGAAGAGTAGGACATACATATTAATTTATTATTAACTAAACTACAGGCCTTATTCAAATTTCGCCAATTTTCCCACTACTGTTCCTTTTTCATTCCTGGTTCCTATTCCTGACCCCACTGGTACAGTTATCTTGCTTTAGTCTATTCTCTAATAGTTCCAGTCTTCTTTTGTCTTTTGTGACACTTGTTAAAAGTACTGTCACTCATTTTGTAGAATGCTCATCAATTTGGATTGGTAAAGTGATTTCTTGTAGTTTATACTTTTTTGGTAAGAAGACCATGAATATTTTGTGTCCTCATTATACTCAGAGGTTATGAGGTTGATTTGATATCTCATTCTTAGTGTTTATTTTGTTGCTCTTTCTTATTTTCAAACAAAGCAGCTTTGCCTGCTCTGACCAATTCAGGAAGTCATTAATATTTCTACCAGCAGTTTTCACTGTGTGTTGAAGCTGGCTGCGTTGAGCACCTTCTGAACATACTCACTCCACACAGCTGTGAACCCCTCAGACGCGGAAGCCTGACCACAGCTTTCTACAGCACCAGTCAAGAAATCCCCAGACAACTGGGGTGGGGCTGCACCTATAGCAGGAATCCTTTCAAAATGCAACAGATGGGTAGACCGAGGACAGTCTGCTGTGAGTGCCTCAAAGCAGAGCCTCTTTAAGGTGCTCATGAGCTTAAGGCTTCCTGGCAAGGTCACGTACATACCTGAGAGATCAGGGGGATGATGGTCTTCCCAGCATGGCCGCCAATGACAGGGACATTGACTCGAGCTGGATCCAAACCCTAGTCACCAAAGTGTGAAGCCTGATTAATTTTTAACAAGCTCTCTGAGTATAAAACAGGTCATATCCACCCAAAGCACTAATACCAGAAAAATCCACAGAACTCAGAACAAAATAAATCTGAAGAGAGACTGACTCTAGCCGTGCTTAGATCTACCATGGCCCCACCCACGGTCTAATATCTGTTTGAACATGTATAGTGAAGAGTAACTTGTCATTTTATGCGATCGCTATGAAGTTTTTCGTGTACGATGAGTTGATGAAAACTGCCTCCTTGTAGCACCCCCCCACCAAACTGGTCCCCATCAGTCTGATATCTTAGAATCAAAGAATGACAGTCTTCTTTCCCACAGCTAATGTTATTCCCAGGCACAAGCCCAGACTCAGGTGCCCACGCTGTGTTACAGAGAACAAGTCAAATACCCTTTCCCTCATTTCAGAGTAAAATTCAAAACAATTCCAGGACACCCAGGGGTGAAAAGTCTGTCAACTCAGACAGTGATTGGGACAGAAAGAACAAAACTGGGAAGTCTCAGAACACCCTGGCTCCTTAGCAGGCTTGCTGAGAGAGGCTGGTTCATTCGTTAAACCAAGGTACAATGCCCTCAAGGATCTGTGAACCAGGTATTTCTTATAACGGTCAAAAGAAGAATCTGGTGGGAGTTATGGGACAGAGGTGAACATCCCCCAATGATGCTGCCTTTCCCAAATGCCACAGCCACTGAAGAGAGCAGCCCTAAGTTAGGAAATCAACCCTGCCCAGGAAGGGAGGCCCAGCTTCAAGGCGGGCAGACACAGCAGGACCAACTGAATGGAGCAGAAGCTCACAAGCTGAAGCACTGTGCTAGTCACCAGGGACACAGGAATAAAGAGAACTCCTGCTTTTGAGGACCTTATTGTCCAACATGAGACAGACACAAAGGGACATTCCAATGCAAAGTGCTAAGATGGCCGCAAAGGATGGCTACTGAAACCAGGGGAGCATTGCAGCCTGGGGAAGGCCTAACTTCATCTGAGAAGGAACAGGAGGACCTCACCAAGGGAAGCATATTCTAGGCAAAAAGAGGAGAAAGAGCAATGGCCTGAGTATAAGGAATGCATATAACAGCAGAGTATGAAATGTAAATGGAGAAAATTTCTCCGAGCCAAGTAGAAACAAAAGGTGGCATAAAAGCGGGTCCAGACAGCCAAGAGGGAGGAACCAGACACTGGGAGCTTAAGGGTCAATTCTGATTTTTCAGGAATTTTTCAGAATATCAGACAGCCTGAGGTAAAGGGCTGAAGCTTGACAAGCACTAGCTTCCTGGAAGGGTCAAGAGATTCCCCTTCCTCCACCTCACACAATAAAGCTTCTAGGCTAAGACAGCACTATCTAATAGCACTTTATGCAAGAACACAGCAGCCGTTATGTGGCTATCGAGCATCTGAAATTTGGCTAGAGCAATGGAGGACATGAATTTCTAATTTTATTTAATTTTATCTAATTCAATAGCCAGTGTAGTTTCTGTACTGCATACAATTAGGGGCCAAGGGGAAATGGAGTGCTTTGAGAGTTGGTAGAACCAAGGGAGCCCTAAGAGAATGAGCACTACCGGTCCCAGGAAACTGGGGTATGAGACTCAGGAAGCTGGAACCACCCCCTGCCCCTCAGTTTCAATGTGATCTCCATAAAGCCTTTCCTGACTCAAAGACAATCACACGCTATACACATTGAATTGGTTAGTCAATTAAATTGTCTCTTGAATTAAAGTCTCTCTTCACTCCACTCCGCAGAGCTCTCAAGGCCTGGGGCCATGTCTTAGGAATCTCGGTGACCTCCACACTTAGAACTGAGACTGAAGAACATGTTTCAGTATGGATTAAAGTGGGGCATCATCAACACTTCAGAAGAAGACCTGTCTGGTGCATAGGGGAGTAAAATAAAGGTCAATGATCCTGTGTGTGCACTTCTCATTAAGCTGTGTGCACGACAATATTTCTACTTTACAGGCACTCCTCATCTGAAAAGTCAGAAGAAAGATGGTCTAAAGTTCAAGAAGGATACCAAAGTAAGTGGTTCTGTTGGACCCACAACCAAAAAGATTAGACAGCGAGTTGTGAAAGGGACTCCAGACCTGGGGCTGCTGCCGAACCCACCTCAGGACGAGCCTGGCGGCTCAGTCAAGCAGCCCAAGAAGTAGGCAACTGGCAAGATCAGAACAATTCCGGGTAAGCTACCACAGATAACTCAAGAAGGGAAGTCAGAACTACGGGCCAGGGACAATTTTGGTATCTTAGGATTTCGGGAATTTCCCCAAATTCGTGTTTGCTGTTTTAACATCCTCTGTCCAATGATTAGCAGACAAATCCTGTCAGTACTAGTTTTTAGAGGCAATGAACTTGCAGAGCATAACTCAGTCCAGCCAGTGAGAAAACCTAGGGAAAGCCTGAACCCTTGATGCACCAGAGAGAAGAGTGAGTGAGCTGAGCCAAGACTGAAGCTGGATGGTTTAAATCTGCAGGGGCCTGCTGGATTCCTCAAGAAAACTGGGAGCTACTTCACACCAAGAGGGCAAGCTACTCGAAATACTTAAAACCCCCAAGTTACAAGTGACCTGTAAATGCCCTCGTGTCTTCTATGCCCATACATGAGCCAAGGTTGGCCAAAAGACCGAAAGACACGTGATGCAGCTCTTACCTTCAGTTCTGCAACAAAAGTGTTGGCTCTGACAATATCCAGGGTCGTCACCCCAAAGATTTTACTGGGGTTGTATACTCCATGTTTCTTGAAAACTTCTGACGTGATTGGGATGGTGGAGTTGACCTAGTAAATCCAAGAGACAGGTATAACTTACCCTGCATTCTGAGAGTACAGCCATGCATCAAAAGGAAAATCTTCTTGCCAGACTGCTGACAAGTCCTAAGGTGCCAAATTAAAATGCCCTGACAACTCTGTTGATAGGCAAGTGACCCTTCATGATGGAACAGGTCATAGTGGGTGGACTTCCTACTCCACAGGAGTGCTTCTTTCTCCCTCCATACAAAGAAACTCCGCACTGCAGCAGACACTCTTCCCTTTGGTGGCCATAGTTCAAATATGCACATGACCCTTCAACTATCATTTTAAAAACGTGATGATGGCTCCACAGGGCACCTTTAGCTCCAGCTGGGACTTACACCTAAATAGCCAGTCCTAAAGACAACACAGCACAGGGCTAAAAGCTCAGATGACATCAGGTCAAGTCCCAGCTCTGTCACTCCACATGGTAACTCCAGGTGAGCTACTCAAACTCCCTAGGACTTGGTTTCTTTGTCTGTAAATGGGGGAGACAACGACCTCATGAGGTTGTGAAGATTAAATAACTTAATATATGGCAAGTGCTTAACACTTTACCTGGTTCAGAGAAACAACATAACAGATACATATTAGGCACTAGTTAGTCACCTCCCTGACAAAAGCAGCAACTGCTTTCTACTTGTGACCAACTAGCCCTGAGGAAGGATGAACAGGCTGCAAAGGCAGGATCCTCTTCTCAGAGGCCACCAGCACAATCTCGGCATTTATCAACAGTCGTTTTCCTCAGTCAACATCACTGTCATTGTGCTATCACTCAGATCCTTTTCATACTCAGTGACCAGAATCCAGAATCAACCAGGAGGGAGGAATGAAGAAAGCTGTTAGTAAATGCAACCCAAAAGCCTGCTAGGGCAGGCGTGGGAACCATCACTGTCTTCTCAGAGAGGACACAGCACTCAAGAGTTTCTGAACTGAAGAATAAGCTCCCTGCAAACACCAGCGAGCAGGGCCTGGGGTGGCTGTGTATGAGATATGTGTATAAGTTTGAGGAGAAAGGGAATGATGAGGAATTAGGAATTGCAAACTCTGCGTAAAATATAGCAAAAAGAGTTCACAGGCTACCACAATCATGGCTGAAATGAGCATCAAGAATGGACTTATTTTCCAGGTAGAGAAACTAAGATTCAGAGAGGGGAAGTGACTTGCCCAAAGGAGCAAAGTTAGCTGATGGGTAAACCAGGTTAAAACTCACTTAGTCCATACCGGAAAGAATCCTTAGGAAATAAATTTAAGGACCTCTTATGAGTTCAGCCAACTATTTCAGTATGTTAGTCTGAACATTCTTCCTATAAGCACATTAGCACCCTTCTGCTAATGTGAGCTTTATCACAGTACCAGCAGCTTTACCTGCCAGCAGCACTCACCGGATTTGCAATGACACAGATCATGGCGTCAGGGCAATGTTGAGCACACGCAGCAGTCAAGGTGGCCACAATTGTGGCATTGGTGTTGAACAGGTCATCCCGTGTCATGCCTGAGAATGATCCAATTAGAGATGTTCACAAAGCACAGGATAAATTTCCAAATACGTGCCAAATATCATGTGTTAGTGGTCACAGAAAGTCAAACATGAGATAGGGTCCCTGTTTCAAGTTAATCTATCTCGTAGAGAAAACAGTCCAGTGTGATAAGTGCCAAAATAGAGGTCTGTGGGGGTGGAACACGGGGAGGGGAATCGGGGAGGGTGATATCTGAGGAGGATCATCAAGGATCAGGAAGAATTTCCAAGGCGAAGACAGGTGGAAGAAAAGACATGGGGTGGGGGTGGAGTGCACAGCAGACATATAGAGGCCCTGATCTTTATCCCACACACAATGAGGAACTTTTGGAATTTTTTTCTGCAGCAGAAAGATCTGACTAGATCCGTTTTTCATGGAAAATCACTTCTTCATCTAACTTGCAGGGAGATGCTAAGCGAGGCTTTCAAACACACACCTGGTTTTCTTGGGACTCCGGCTGGAATAACCACCAAATCACAACCTTTCAGGCATTCGGGCAGCTGCTCAGGTCCGAGGTAGCCTAGGAAAAACACGCATGTGTTTTCTTGCTGCTTCCAATCAGGTGGGGCTAGCACATCTGTGGGGACAGGGGCTAGGCAGGACAGCCTCCACCTGCATCCAATGCCAACCAGAGGCCTCAAGAAAGGCTGAAAAGGCCCACCTGTGACGTGATTCATTTCCTTGAAGACAACCACCCTAACAGTTCTGACTGGTAGGAAGGCTCCCTTTTTACTGTTTTTCTCCAGCCTCCATTTGCCCAGGCCCTGGATTCAGAATGGATTACCCTCCAGGTTTCCACAAAGCCAAACCAAGTAGGCTGCTTGTCTTTATCCCACTGGACTTGTTAGCACCTTTAAGTCCTTCTCAGCTCCCAGTTAGAAGAGCTGTTTATTCCACATCACAATCATCTTAACAAAAGCTCCATCTCAGAGTCAGATCAGAAGGCATAGTGAAGGCCTCAAAAGAAAAGCCCTGTGCCGATAAACAAGGACTCTAAGTATTAGTACCTATTTTGTTAGCTCCTATCATCCTAAGGGAAAAAGGTCTATTTTTAAAGATTTCAGGGAAATTTGCTCTAATGACCAAAATCTGCTTTGATTTTGACTTTTCCCCTATTTGCAGGAGCTTTCAGAAACTTAAATATACAACCAAAAAGAAAATGAGCAAATTCGGAGGGACTATGGAAGGCACATAGCAACATATGACTTGAAAGTCAGCCTCCTGAGTTGTTTACATCTTTCTGGACAGCATTTTGGTACTTTAGAGTAAAAGCTTCAAAATATTCATACTCACTAATTTTACTTTTAGGACTCTAAGAAATAAGATATAAAGATGAGGATATTTATCACAGTTTATATATCCACATTTATAGGAAAGGGCCCAATGATCAACAGTATGGGAATAATAAGTGATAAATTATAGTATAACTTAAAAAATAATTTCACCAAGAACTTGGTGACATAGAGAGAGATTGCTAAGACGTGAAGGTAAAATAAGCAGGATGTATAATTATATGTTATTTTAAATTATTTCTTGGATTACACACCTACATCTCCCTAATAGGAAGGCAGATTTCCTAAGGTGGCCATACTTTGGAGAAGCTAGCAAAGATAACCTTGAGTAGGCTAGTCTATAGCAAAGGAAGGTGACCCGTAGTGACTGGGAACAGCGTTTCTTACTGTCCTACATCCCCCAGGAGTTTCCTTCTTCCCCATCCTCAATTACTTTACAAAAAAGATAGAATAGGAAGATTAAATTACCTTTGTTTTCCTCAAAGACACTACCATTTAAACTTTTATAGACTCAAGTCCACAAAGGTAATCATTTGTAAAATTTAATTCTAAACTGAACATGGAAACCCCAAGTCTCTGAACATCTAGTTTCATCTAAGAATCTTACTCTAAACTTGGGTCCTGGTCTACTGAGAAAAAGAGATGTAAAGGTCTCCGGGGCCAGCATGTGCAGTACCTTTCACATTTGCTCTGGTCTCGATGTGGCTCAGATCCGCCGCCACTCCAGGCGTATGAGCAATATCGTAGAGGGTCAGGCGGCTCACCAAAGGACTGTTCTTCAGGAGAAGTGAAAGGGGCTGCCCAATTCCTCCAGAAGCCCCGAGCACGGCTACCTTAGCATTGTTCTAAAAAGAGGCACAGGAAAACAAAAAATAAAAAAGAGGCACAGAGAAAGGACTCATAAGGATTCAAATTAAAAGAATACCTCCTGCAAAGTACTGTACTGGCCTCATTTACTGCACAGATGCCAAAGGAAGATACTATTGTATTTCTACCAGTGCAAAGGTCCAGTTTCCTTCTGAAGTTTAGAGGTATGCCTCAGGAAAATGGGGGAGAATTCATGTCTATAGAGGTTCTGATAGGGTCAAACGTCAAACATCCTCTGAAAAATGAATAAGCTTTATTTATCAGGCAGCTGGGTTTGCAACACCAGCTTTACCTTCAATTTGAAGTTTTAAAAACTATAAACATTTACTGAGCACCTACCAATGAGCTAGTCATCACACTTGGGACTGCAGGACTAAAGACTCCTGCCAGCTCTGGAGGGGACAAGTAATGAGATGTACAAGGAGCTGAGAGAAAAGAGCTAAGCACTGTGTGTAGAGGGTGGTGGTGTGTGACGCGGCGGGGGGGCGGG